CCTGGTAAATCAGAAAAGTGTGCTCACATCTGTTGAAGATATGTTTTATCAGTTACGTCAGTGGTTCTAGAACTTTTGTGAGTCTGCAGACTGGATGATGCGGGCTCGCCTTTGTGAAGTTGTTACTCAGTTGTTGAATAAACTTCCCGCTTTTATGGATCCGAAGATTCATTGCCGTGTTCATAGTAGACCACCACTGAACTCTATCGTGTGCCGTTGAACCGTGCCCTGTTTCTCGGCGTGAAGCTGACAGCTCATCTCCACCTAGTGCCGAGGTCAAAAGTACGTGCATCTCTATATCCAGTGCTACCACGCGTCTTCATGGCATAGTGCTTACTTAGTGAGGTACAGGGACAGCTTCACCAAGTCTGGTCTCTTCCCTTGTCTTCCGACTAAAATTTTTATGAATTTCTTTTCTCGCTCGAGCGTCTATATGAACCGCTGCGTCTTCCTCTTAGATTGCATGTGAGTTCTTCGTTAAATGTAAGATTGTTTGTATTATTGTTAACTGGTCTGGTAGGAGTGGCAGCGAAGCGAACGTAAACACTGTGCAGGTATATCTGTTCGTGACAAGTGGAACAACTGCGCTTCAGCCCTTTCAGTACAAGGCGCAAGGTATGAGAATGTCTCTGAAAGCACTAGCTGTATTGCTCGTTTGAAATTTGTCTCGCCGTCTGTCACCAGTTAATGCTTACCGATAATAGAAACGATACATTTTCATATACCAACAGAAAGACATGTTCCTAAATACAACATATAGAAACATATTTTGCAGTTGCACTGCTTGCGATTTTACTTATCAGCGGCACGATTAAAATGAATTTGTTTTTCATATCACTGATTGTGCAATCGTGCAGATTTAAATTGTATATACGGTGAAAGGGCCGATCACAGTGGCCGCGAGGTCCAAGGCATGAACCGTTTTCTCCCTCTCGAACACTGGACTCGTGTGCTCGAATCCCACTCGAGGCATGGATATCTGTGTGCTTTTACTGTGTGTTTGTGTTGATCTCTGTGTAGGTAGCGGCCTTGCGACGGGCTGATCCCCCGCCCAAGGAGTTGTACCGACTGTGTATAGATCTAGAAACCGATAAGGCAGCCAAGATCCACAGGGGCTGTAGAGCCATAGATAGATACGGTGAAAGGGGTTGATTTCCATTACCTCAGCAGTTTTCTTTATATGTCATTTGATTATTATAGTCTGTCGTCTTTCACATTGCGCAAAGTCTAAATCCAGAATGAACAGAGAAGAAAGTGCAAATATGAGATAGGCTTGGTATGTCACATGTCCGGGCTTAGACGAAGTTGTTTTGCTGGACGACACATTTACAGTTACACTTACAATCACTACAGTCACTCTGAGGTAACTTCTTCCAGACGATGTAACCTGACTAATCCGGTCTTCTCTGATCTGATCTCCACCCTGGTCTGATCTTATCTCTTATATCTCACGGTCTACCAAGACATTGCAGATTCACTGGATAACGGAAGTAGGATAGACACATTTGTAATAGATTTTTCGAAGGCCTTCTATTTAGTTTGTCATGATCGTCTGCTTACGAAAATTGCGGCCTCAGGAGTGGACACAAGGGTAGTTATATGGATAAGGGAATTCCTTTTGGGCCGTACGCAGAGAGTCAGAGTAGGAAGGCAACTATCGGAGGAAGTCAGAACAACGTCAGGAGTACCGCAAGGAAGTGTGCTGGGCCCACTACTGTTCCTCGCCTACGTCAATGATATTTGGAGAAATATTGAGTCAACTATTAGGCTATTCGCGGATGACTGTATAATATATAGGAAAATTAAAAATAATAATGATAAGGAAAAGTTGCAGATAGATCTGAACAGACTTGGGAAATGGGCGGTTGAAAATGAGATGAAAATTAATCCAACTAAAAGTAAGGCAGTTTGTTTCACGAGGGCTCGAGTAACGGAGCCACTAAATTATTCGTTAGGGGGCACAGTAATCCCAGAAGCGAGCAGCTGTAAATATCTGGGAATAATTTTACGCAGCGACCTAAGCTGGTCTGATCAAGTTAATTACAGTGTGAAAAGAGCCTGGAAGGCACTTCATTTTACAATGCGTGTTCTAAAAAAGGGAAATAGCAAAACTAAAAGTCTAGCATACACATCTTTAGTGCGTCCGATTCTGGAATACGGGGCGGCGTGCTGGGATCCCTACAGGGAAGGACAGATAAATGCGTTAGACCGGGTGCAAAAGAAAGCGGCTAAATTTGCACCC